CACACACGTGACCAACACCTAGCGTGAGCCACCCCGAGGTGTAAGCAGGCCCTGCCCTCCAGGAGCTGAGAGTCTACCAGGGACATAACAATATGCAGATGAATATTGTTCCCTAGAAACGCAGGGAAGGAGGACTAACGTCTGTGGGACGTGCCAGGTACCGCATGTGGCATGGAGACAGTCCTCCTAGTTACCAAGTGTCTACCACTTACTCCTCTCAATTCCACCAGGTGGGCCCCGGCACCGCCCTTTTCCAGATGTGGAAACCAAGGCTGAGAGGCAACGGGAGTTGACCGAGGCCACAGTCAGTAGCCAGAGCTGTACGGGCCCTTCTCATGCCACGCCAAGTGTCAAGTGGGGGCGTAGGAGTGAGGGATCCCGGAGCACAGAAAAAGGAGGCGAGCTCCGGGCCTGGCGGCCTCCGGCATCCCCGCCATGGGGGCCGTCAGCTCAGGCATCAGCTCTGGCTGGCGCCCGGGGGTCAGAGAGAGAGGCAAGGGCTCACCGACATGGCCAGGTGCAGCGGCGTGTTGCCGTGCTCCCCGCGGGCATCGGCGTTGGCCCCGTGGGTCAGCAACACTATGACACAGTCCAAGCGGCTGCGCATCACCGCCACGTGCAGGGCTGTGTTCCCCACGGAGCTGGTGCTGTTCACGTCGCAGCCTCGTTTCAGCAGTATGCGGGCCATCTGTGGGAGGCAGAAGGTCCAGGCGCGAGTCAGCGGGGCGCTCAGAGCAGCTGTGGCTGGAGGCGCCTGGCGGCGCCTGGGCAGACACTTCCTCCCTCAGAGGCCTTCAGGTACTGGGCCGCTGGAAAGCTCTAGCAACGGGAAGCGCCCAGGCGGCAGGCTCCAGTTCTGGGGCTGGCCCTCGGCCTTGGCTCCCACACCATCGGCACCCATGTCCTTCCCTGGAACTCACAGGACCCAGTCCCTCCCTGCAAAGGTTCCTCTGGGCCCTGTCCCAGAACTGCCTCACTCCCTGTGGCCTTCCCTGGGACCCACAAAGGTAGGATCCTTCCTCAGGACTTGGCAACACAAACCCCTGCTCACCCAGCAGCCCCAGGGAGCCTGGGGCTATAGAGAGAAGCCTGGGTTTCGGAGCCCAACAGGCTCGAGCCCTAAGCTCAGCCCTGCTTCGTCCTAGTTGTCTGCACTTGACAGGGTCACTGCACCCCCTGTACCGCAGTTCTCTCTGCTGTGAAAACAGGAATGTGAGTCCCTACCTCACAGAGTATGGTCACAATGAATGACAAATATACATGAAAGGGCCTGACTCGGTGGCTAGCTCCTGGCATGAAGAAGGTGCCCAGCAGAAGCTGGCATCTCTTCCCTCCTGGTCCATGATCTTTGGACCATCCAGGGCACTGCTGAGCTGTGCGTCCTGGAGACGAGAGGCCAGCAGCCTCCATCCTCCCAGGGGAAACAAAGCGTGGCTTTGGAAGAGCCTCAGAGGAGGTGCCCAGCCAGCATCACCGCCGTCTGTCTATGAGGCTCTTGACAGCTTGTGAATAATTTTCTCACGCACGACCTCACTGACCTCACAGCACCTCCAGAGCCAGGCCATTGGAACCCCAAATCGTATAGGAAGACACTGCAGNTGTCTTTCTGTTGGGAAACGGGGTGAGGGGGAAATATATAAGCTCAGAGAAATGAAGAGGAAAAGGACCCTGGCCTCTGCCACCCTACCCACCAACTCAGTGGGCCTCTCCTCAGCTCGGGGAGAGACACTGGAACCCTCTGATCTTCCACCTCCATTGATCTGATATTCTAAAGTCTACAAGGTGAAGGCTGGTGTTCTGATAAGCAGGTTTACAAGTATCCCCAGGTGCAGGTTTCACAACCCAGGCAGAAACTGGAAGCGACTCACCCACCCCCAGCCCCACTAGCTCCTTCTAAAAGGAAGCAATGTATCTATGACCCCCGACCCAGAAGCCAAGGGGACACTGACGGGTCAGGGGCTGCTGGCTGCTTTCAGGAGCAGCAGGAGAACCTGAGCAAGGAAAGAGAAGGCCATCGTGCCCTTCCAGTCCAGGGTGCTGGTTCCGAGGGGGTAACTGGGCACACATGCCCGCCCCCCACCCCCACTCCCCATGGCAGCCTTCCAGTGCAGCCTCCCTGCACACGGCACTGTGCAGTTCACTTGTGCAGGCTGGGTGGGGGCGGGGCATGGCATGATGGCATGGTTTCTCAGGACAAAGCCGCAGGCTGGCTGTCAGGAGGCCTGAGCTCGGGTCTTATCACCGCCCCCTCTTCTCAGGGCCTGATCTCCCTGTCTAGAGAACGAAAAGGTATGTCTAGAATGCAGTCATCCAAACAGTGGTTCATGTACCACTGGGATCTATATGGGCACAGGTAAACGTGTGTTTTAATCATTAGTTATGTGTTTCTTTTTTGGTTGCCTTTTTTATTTGTGGCAC